TGCCCATTTCACCTGGAAATGCGTCTATCATTCCAACCCTCTGGGCAGTTTTCAAATCACCACTTTTATATGAAAAATGGGCCTGTCACTAAAATGTTCCCTTCATTCTCACAAATTTTGAATTCCTACCACCCCCTTGCCCATACATACATACATACCCCCTCGCATCCTCCACCCACCCCCAGCTAAAGAGCAGGACAGTCAACATTCAGTTTTAGACCACTGAAAGGTTTAGGGTCCCATGTCTTACAAACCATCTGGGCTGGAAATGATTGCATTAATATCACTATTTTAACTTTATTTTTAGTTTTCTTACTTAAGTGGTGACAGTACTCTCTACTGTACAAGACACAGTTAAAGACACAGGGCCAGATTTGTAAAGGTGTTTCAGGTACCTAAAGATGCAGTAGCTGCCTAATAGATTTTTTCAAAAGTGCCCAAGTGCCTAACGCCCGTTGGAATCAATAGGAGTTTGGCCCCGGTCTCTTTTTAAAATCATACTAGGCACCAATCTGCATCTTTAGGCATCTAAATAAGTACATTTACAAACCTGACGCAATTACAACCTAAATCAGAGAAAAATACCCTGGGAGACTTAGCTGGTTTAGCATGCGTGTCTGTATTAGGAAGTGATGGGATGACATGAGGTTACAGTTGTGATTCTCACAGGACAAATGGATTTTCGGACAGATCTGAGTCAAGAGTGGGAGGCAGCTTGACACACTGGGTGACAGAGGTTATTCCACGCATGAAAGGTGGCATGGACTGAAGTACTAGGAGAGGGTTGGGCAAACTACAGCCCGTAGGCCGGATCTGGCCCCTCAGGGCTTTGGATCCAGCCTGCAGGCTTGCCCCCCGCGGCGCCACGGGCTCCGTGCCGCTCTCGGGGGGCGGGGAGGGGGCAGAGGACTCCGTTAGTTGGCCTTGCCTCCAGGCACCGCTCCCTGCAGCTCCCATTGGCCGGGTACAGGGAAGCTTCGGGGGAGGTACCTGGAGGCGCGGCAAGGGCAGCATACATGGAGCCCTCTGCTCTCCCCCTCCCCTCCTGAGGGGCTGCAGCGCTTCCTGGAGCGACGCGGGGCCGGGGACAGGACAGGCGTGCAGGAACCTGCCCTGGACCCGGTGCGTGCTGCTGCCACCCCGGAGCCCGAACCCCTCCTGCACCCTGCCTCCCAACTCCCTGCCCTAAGCCCCCTGCCTGCACCTCGCACCCCTTCTGAACCCCAACCCCCTGCTCTGAGCCCCCTCCTGCACCCTGCACCCCAACCCCCTGCCCTGAGCCCCCTCATAGACTCCACACCCCTCCTCTGCCCCAATCTCTGGCCCTGAGCCCCTTCCTGCACACCGCACCCCCTCCCTAACACCGTACTCCCTCCCGCACCTCAACCCCCTGCCCCGGCCCTGCATACAATTTCCCCACCCAGATGTGGCCCTTGGCCCAAAAAGTTTGCCCACCCCTGTACTAGGACATGAGTGGGAGACTGGCATCACAGAAGTTAGGATGTGATGAGAGAAGTGGAGACATAGGCAGGGGTTTGATTGGGCTGAGCCTTGAAGACATGGATGAGATACTCAGCTGAGATTTGGTAGGCAAGGGGAGAGCTAGGGGAGAGGGTCTGAGGAGGGGGAGAAGGGTGTTTGCTACCACTCATTTCTAATGCTGTGGCGCTTATTTGGCTTAGCCCTGGTATGTCACAAGATACTGGACTTTGAAACTGCATTCACATTATCTCTAGAAAGCTATTTTACATACTCTTTAGATGTTTCTATTATTTAATAGTTTCTCTTTCTCTCAGGGCTGTGCAGTTGGACTTGTGGTGCAATGAAATCTGAATTTACAGGTAGCAGGCTATGACAGGCTCACTGGTTTGATTTTTATTAAATCTCTCTCAATTATTTCTAAAACTGGTTTTCTGTCAAATATGTAGCATATGCCATATGCACAATGGTGTGATGTGGAATGAAGGGTCTTACTTGTAAGTGCTGGGGACGAGCTGGTGAAATGTGTAGGAGTTGGAACTTGGGCCATCAATAGCTTTTTACCCTGTTATATCCTAATTCAGTGTATGTACCTGAGACGCTGTGTAGTTAAGTGCAAAACCTAATAAAACCTTAAATCTGGATTTCAATTCTTTAATTAAACTTGCACGGAATACATTTTTCACTATAGACTACTTAAATGAAGAGAAAAAAATGTTTTGTCTAGGTACTTTTCATGTTCCTTTAATCTGTACTTTTACAATTTCCATGGCAAATTCATGAGTCAGGTGTGATACAAAACTCTCTCCTCTAAAGCCTTATTTTTAGTCCCTGCCGACCTTGCAGAGCAACATATGCCCTTGGGTGACGAGGCTCAGTTAGCCATCTGCTGCAGCTTGCTCAGAATACAGCAGCAGGGTCTGCTCGCTGGTTTAACCAATCGTGCTGTCCTCTCCCTCTGCCTTCCCACAAGTTATTTAAACTGGTAGTGTTGATGGTTAAAGCACTGCTAATAAGTCCAGCCTATACTCAATACCTCCTCCTTGAGCTTTGATCTGGTAGGAATTTGTATTTGGACACCACTTGCCACTCATTCTTCACTTTCTCAAAAAAAGCCTCAAATCATTTCCCCAAAACATTCCCTCCCGCCTGGGCAATCACCACTGTTGTGCCTGACATTTATCACTTTTCTCTCCTGCTCCCGCTCGACTTTTGGTCTGTTTTGAATTTTAAGAGGGTGGCTTATAAAAAGCCAAGGACTGACTGGCAGCAGAGCCTGCACTCTCCTCTCACCCCCACAGCTGGGCTCTCTAGCTCTGGCTGAGGCTAACACAGACTGGCAGGGCAATCGGGGAATTTTGTACTGTTTGTACCTCTTCCATACAGTGGACAGCTTTCTAAAAGGAACATTTTGTTTCACCACAATCAGTAGCCTCCAGGAAGGGGGGAGGTCTTCCAGCTGCTCCGGAGCCACGGCTGTAGGCCATGGGGAGAGTTTGCCTTGCAGAGGAGTTTACAGATACATCCCTGTTCATAGCAGGATTACAGGACTAGGCAGCAAGGGATTCCAGCTGTGCTGCTGCAGCTAGAGGGTGGGTTGAGGTGTGCACACATGGCCATGGGCCTTTAGAGGCTCTCTGTCGCTGTTGCGAGCTCTGGCATCACATCAGCCTGGTGGGGAAGCTCTTCTGCAGTGGGAACTGGAGTACTGAATCTTTTCCTATGCCTAGCTGCTCTGCTCTTTACCTTTAAGCACATAAGAACGGCCGTACTGGGTCAGACCAAAGGTTCATCTAGCCCAGTATCCTGTCAAGCTAGCCAAGAGGCTTCAGAAGGAATGAACAGAACAGGGCAATTAGTAAGTCATCCATCCCCTGTTGTCCAGTCCCAGCTTTTACTAATTAGAGGTTTAGAGACTCCCAGAGCATGGGGTTGCTTCCCTGACCATGTTGGCTAATAGCCATTGATGGATCTGTCCTCCATGAACTTATCTGATTCTTTTTTTTAACCCAGTTACACTTTTGGCCTTCACAACATCCCCTGACAAGTTCCACAGGTTGACCGTGTTGTGTGAAGCAGTACTTCCTTATGTTGTGTTAAACCAGCTGCCTGGTTATTTCTTTGGGTGACCCCAAAGCTGTTCTATACCCCTAATTATTTTTGTTGCCCTTTCTGCACTGGTACTGCTGTACATGTTTTCTCTGTTCTCCATCTCCAGATGGCTACACTCTGTGTCAAGAAGCGTGAAACTGATTTTTGGCGCCCTGATATATTACTGGGCAGGAGGAGTTAACTCATGAAGACAGACAATAAATGGGCCTGATCCTACAGTCTGTACTCATCAGTCTACAGGAGTGTTGCCTAAGTAAGAGCTGCAGAATCAGGGCCCTTTGTTATAGTTCTTCCATCATGAATCAATCCCTCCTGTCCATTAATTTTAGCCTCTAATGTACCGGCATCTTGTTCAGATGTTCTGGTGTGCAGAACAAAGGCAGTAAAGAGTGGGGCTGTGCTATGTTTCATATGATTCTGTACATATACAGCCCCAAATGGCATCGTTTTGTAACTATCTCACATTGCAAGCTCTCTGATGAGCAAGGGGCACATAACGAGGCACCCATGTCTTGCTCACTTTTTGAGCACAACAGAATATGTAGGCATAGTCTCTCAGCAAAGAGGTGTCATCAGGGACGAACCATTTACTCATAGTCGCCCTTCCTAAAGGAAACTGAAGCGCAAATTAAAGCTGCCCAAGTGTTTATATCCAGACCCTGTGCTTGCAGGGTAGAGCACTAATTACGATACCAACAAGCTAAATCTGTATTTGTATTTCTATTCTACAGATTCCAATTTACACTAAGGCCCCTTTACACGGCCAGAGTGATGCAAAGGGGCCTTAATGTTAATGAGATTCAGGCCCTACTGTTTTTATTAATGCATGGATCTTTGGGGCATGATCGCGGCCTATGCGGTTAAGCTCTGTGTACCACACATGCATGCGATGTAGAGAGGAAGGGAGAGAATAGGTATCTGTTCATTTGTTTCCAATTTAAAACAAAAACACTATCCGGTAACCATAAACAAGGAGAGAAACACATGACAAACATAGTGATCTTAAACCCACTTCGGTGAGCAGTGTTTATACTTAGTTCCTGAAAATCCATGGAGTGTAGTAATAGCACGGACCAGGGTTCAGCATGCATAGTTTACAGTGCAGGGGGATAACATGAACATTCTCTTGAGAGATCCTGTGAAATTATTGTGGAATCTGCCATTTGTTGCCATCTCCTCCTCTCCAAAGGCAAAAATGTGCTCTTTTGAAGCATTTTTATAAGCCCCAGGGTTAAATACTATCTGTCAGGGACGATGTATCAATATCTGGGGAGGGGGAAATCAGAGAAAATAGGAGAGTTGGGGTGATTTCCCTATTTTTTAGAAGTGGGATCTAACTGCCCTAGAGCTCACATCCCTTCAACATGTCACTGGTGAAATTATAACAGACCACACACTTCAGCCCTCAAAAAACTAAAGCAGCATCTTTATTTTATACATAACAATCAGTATAAAAAGTTTATTACATAAGAGCTGTTTTGTTTCCAATATATTATATTGCTTCAAGCCAATGCAAAAAGTTCATACATTATAGTTCTACTTTGTTTACAATATATTATATTGTTCAAATGCCATAGTGTATATTTAATACAGAGCACTCTGCAAAATTGTTATGACCAACAATATTGCTGTATTGATTTTTTTTTTAAATTAGGAAACTTGTTTGTAATCGTTCTAAGTACATGATAGTAACAATGCAAAAACAACCCTGACTGTTGCTTAGGCAAACTCTCTAGTCATCAGATCAACCGAGGGCAGCTTCTACAAAATGCTTCACTTGGAAATTGTTTCATTTTTGGAAAATATTTGCAGCTACATAATCAAAAAGGAAAGTTTAAACATTACTGAAATATAGTACAAAACACTGTCCAAAGCACTGAAACAAGAAGCCTATATAATCGTGCTAAAGAAGGATTTATAAAACTTAAAAGGAATAGTAAATATCAGCTCAGTGGTTTATAATGAAGCTAATAAAATTCAGGCCAGTAATCTTAACTGTAATGAACAGCATTTTAACATTCAACACATGAAAGGTTAATGAAGGCTATGAACTTTGTGTAACATAAAACGTTTCAGATGTTTGAGTTCACCAGATATAATTGGATTCGGGTGGAACATGCCTCTCTTCAGCCTTTTTAGGTGAAGGCGTGTGCTGTCTGTGCTTGGGGTCTGTTGGCCTCAGGGCACTCATAATGCTGGCTCCATACCCTGAAAAATTGAGAAAGAAACTACAAAAGCAGACTCCTCGTTCATTGTTAACATTTCAAATTGAAACAGTTTTTCCCATGGGAACGGGGGGAATTTTAATACACATCATACAGGTGCCCACAGGAAAAAATGGGTGCCATAAGACAAAAAGTTAATCATGACAGGATGCCGTCTCTCTGGCTTTTACCGTAAGGCTGCCTTATCACAGAATCACTGCACTACAAGTATACTTAGGGCTATAGTACTGCACAGGATTCACAACAATGTTTGATGGACAGAGAGTCAAAGGCAGCCCTTAGAGATGAGCTTTAAAATGGTTTTATTGGTTTGCTGAGCATAAAAATCCCAGTGGAGAATGTCGGTTAATTATGTGCACTTTACTTCGTTTTAAAGCCAAATACAAAGAAAACAAGAATGGCAGCAACAAACACCCAGAAAAATAAATTAAGGATCTGAGATACGTTGTTTCTGAAACTGAAAATGGGATAACAAGTATCAGTGTTGTACCTATTCGTTTACCGTTTCATTTACAAATCTAATTACAAAACCTCAAGAGGACATGACTTAAAAACTGAATTTCAGGGTTGCTTTATTTTTTTACCACTTCTCTTTAAGAATATTGTTGGAATGAATGGCTTCTCAGTACAACTGCGCATGGAGCTTTTAAATCAGTGGTGGCAAAACTTTTCCTGTTGTGACCCGCCCCCCTTTACCAGTATTGGAATCTGTTCATGCCCCCTCCCCCATTACAGCACAGTTGGCTCAGCAGAGGAGCTTGGGCTGAAGGCATAGCTTGGGGCTGAACTGGGGATGAGGGAGGAGGTGGAGCTAGTAGAGGGGGAATGAGGACTGAGCTGGGCTGGGGGTGGTGGCTGGGGGCAGAGCAGGGCTGGGTGGTGCTCTCTCCCTGCCCCCTGTGGGGGCTGGCCTGGGCCCTGCCGTGCACCCCTCTGAACGTTCCTCAGCACAGTTTGGGGACAACTGTTTTAAATTGTGGGGATTATTTTAATCTTTGTTTTATAGCCATTGACTTTCATAGCCAATGAAGTCGCCCCTAAAGTAGCTACATTTTTTCTTTCTTTGAAATTAAACATGAGTCTGACTGAGAGATACTTGGTTTTATTTGCAGAGTAAAATGAACTCAAGCACAAAGGGCCCTATGCATAGTTTCAGTAAATTCTACTTAGGCTCTTAATACAGAGGTGAATTCTACCCAGGGTGGCCCCAACCTGATGATTGCAAAAGGTGTTTTGCCTAACTAAGAACTGCAGGACTATAGCCAGTCTTTAAACCAACGTATTTATTAACGAGGGCTTCAAAGCCCTTGGAACAGACACTAATGTGTGAATACTGAATCCTTGTACCATGGCATGCATGCTACACGTTTTTTGCTTCTCTGGGGGCAGTAAAATGTATGTGCATTCACAATGAAAAAATGCTCACTTGCTAGCTGGTAGGTTAACTTTACAGATGTGTTAGAAAAAGATGGCATTAAAATTGATAGTGATTTCCAGATACTTGATTTTTAGCTATACTGTGTCTGTTGTATGTGTTAAAGTATTTATTCTTTTGTCAGGGAATGGCATAGTTAAGCAAACAAATATAAAATCCAACATCTTCTAAACTGATTCCCAAAGCCTTAATTTTAAACCATAACTCATTCCTGTCAGAGTATGTTTTGGCTTTATAAAAACACTCGTCATTATTCTCTGATGCATTTTAACATGCACACCTTTCTCTACCCAATGGATCATGGACATCAACATCATTTAAAATTATTTTAGTTCAATTTTTACTATCATGTAGGTTCATGTCTGGTGGATTTATTAAGCATATGGCATTAAAAATAAATTGTTCTGAAATTTTCATTTTTACTATCTAATAAACTGGAGCAACTTATACCGGTAACAAATATGCTAATTTTTTCACTGCCACTTTTCAAATTAACTATTGATAGCAAACTAATAATGTTTACAGCAAACATATATCTTATGAATGGTTGTATCAAAAAAGTCTCAATACTTCAATTTGTTGTTATTATAGTACTATATTTTATGATATATAAGGCTGAATTGGAATTTGTCATCTGGATCTAAATTGCTATTTCAAGTCATTTTATAACTTCTTGTTATTGGGAATGGAGATTATATTAAATATGGAGATCTTAAGGATAAATTAATTCCTGGTTTAACTCCACTGAAGTCGTCAGTTGCCTATACATTGCACTAGGTGTCAAATAGATCAACAAAGGTAACATTGAGATCAACAAATTTTGGAAGCTTTAAGTCTGGTTTAAAAAAAAGTCAATTAACACCCCTACACACACCTAAATTTTAACCTGCTTTAAAGTTGGTTGAAAATTGGAGGGAAGATTTTGCAAAAACTTTGTCTATTTCTCTGAAATTTTGAAAAAATCCAATCAGCTCTAAACCCCTATGTAATATATTTGTATTTACAGAAATGTCTATCCAGTGTTCTGAAAGCCTGATCCAAAGCGCCACTGAAGTCAGTGGGAATCATGTTGTTAGAGTAGTGTGTGCACAGCAGATACAGTAGGGTGCACTTTCCAAGATTCTCATTGACCTCAGCGGGGTTTGGATCAGTCTCACCGCATCAGCAGAACATAAATTAGGTCACGTAGAAATTTTCTCTATACCAAATTTTAGAATTCCCAATAGGCAAAAAAGTGAGATTAATCACTGTAGAGTAGTTTTGAATTGTTTTATTCTTTTTTTGTAATTAATATACAGTTAACAACAAGTAAGTCTTGAAAATGTTTGGGATAATTATTTGTATGTGTACATTTTAAAAAATGAAAGGATTATTAACTAAGGAGAGTGTTTTGTTTCTAGTGATTGTGTAGTAGCTTTGAGCCAGCCATTTATAAATGGAAGATGATCTGTGAAAAGCTACAGTATGGATTCTCAGAGCTTTGTTCTCACTTACTTTTGTTGCAATGTCTTCCATGCCAGCCTTCTTTGCATTGACATTTGTTAGGTTCCACACAGGTTCCATATGATCCACAACCAGGTTCACAGACAGCTGTAATCAAGTGAGAACATGAATTCAACTTCCTTACATTTCACTCAGAGATAAAGTTACATAGTTGCTTTCCCTGCTATTCTTTAGAATGTTAGTTTTGGCATGGCCAAGGGCGCTAGCAGTAAATCTATAATTTTAAATTGACTGTGTGCAGAATTCTGAAAATAACTTGCCCCACTACTGAAATAAGTCCTTATTTAACTCTCTTACGTTGGTGCAAATCAGGAGTAACTCTATTGAAGTCAATGAAGTCAGTAAGGGAGAGGAGAATCAGGCCCATAATATTTACATTCATAAAAAGGTAGATTTCCAGTGGTATTTTGAAATACCAGAGTATTGAAATGTTATTATCCAGAAACATTTGCTTATTATACTGATGTGTTACTGCTTTAAAGAAACTCATACTATTAAAAGGTTTGGTTGTTTTTTACAAGTTCTTTGTTTTACAACCACCCCCTTAACATCAATAAATGAAGCATGTCCATGAAGTAAATTAACCTGAGCTACCCTGGCAACACAGAGTTAGTGCTGATGTTGAGTAATAAGATACTGTATTGCTATCACAATGATCTTATAACAAGGATTGATTGAGTAGAGTTAGTACTTACGCTTTGAACAAAGTTCTCCTTGGTAACCTTTGGAGCACTTACATTTATTTTTACCGGTACATTTACCTCCATTTCTACATGGCTGTTGGCATTTGCCTAGAAATAGGAAACATGAAAACAATGGTCTTAGTACTCCACTTATGCAAAAATAATTACAGGGAGAGGGAGGAAGATAACTGTTTTAAAAACACACTTTATGTTTGAAATATTCATTGGATCATATTGTTAAAAAGTCTTGTGTGTATGCAGTAGATTCTGTAGGGGGGCACTCTCTTATAGGCATGGGAAGTCTAGTTTTCCAAAGATTTATATGCATGCATAAGCAGCTTGAAAATTGGGCTAGAACTGGGCATGGCCTCTGAGTGTCCACACGGACTTTGGCTACACTCATAGCACTGGGATTTTGAAGAGGGAATTCAGTGTGCCCTCTGTGAGTACTGCCCACTTCTCCATACCCTCCTAGGGCAGCTGCAGCACAGTGTCACTGTGTCAGCATTTTGCAGCTAGCTGCAAGGAATATGAGCTCAGGGTCCAGGCAGCTGGGCACAAATGAAAGAAACAGGGAAGGGATACTAGGGCTTTCCTTAACAACAGGATACTCAAGAACTGAACAAATGTTGCAAGTATTTGCAGGAAATAAACAGGTTGGCTTGGCCTGTCACCTTACAGTCAGAACTGTGTGTACTCTGTAGATGCTGTAGGATCCATTCCATGCTGCAATTTACTGCTCCAGAAACCAAGCTTTCATTTAAAAAAATGTTTCTAGTTTCAATGGTTGTGAAGAAAAGCTTGAAAATGTGAACTGAATGTAACTAAGGCAGTGATGTCTACCTGAGTCTGCAGACAGCCTGAAACTTGAGTTAAAATAGCCGTGAAGGCATGGCATCCTGACTTTTAACTTAGGCTTTAACTCAAGCTGCTAACCCATCGGGCAGCCTGGGTTGCACTTGAGTTGTTAACCTAAGTTAAAAGCTGAGTTGCCATGTTTTCATTGCTATCTTAACCCAAGTTAGCCAGCACGGGTTAGCTAAACCAAGTTAAGAACACACCCTTTTTTTGCAGTGTAGACATACCCACAGATTAACTGTGGGCTAAAATGTCTTCTTGGAATGGAACAAAAGCTAAATGCTATGTGCTGTGCTATGTACATATCTGTTAGTGGAACAGAAACTAAGACTGGGAAATGGAAAAAGGAACAGCTCAGTTGGTGAAAGGAGGAGAAGAAATAAAAAAGAAAATTACTACTCGCCAGTCTCAAACTGAAACAGTAATTAGAGACAATGTATAACTACAGTAAGAAGAAACCCGAAGGACTTGGAGAATGCTTGTTAGTATTGCAAATTACGGTTAGTACATTTCCCAGGAGTTTTAGAGAGGGACTCAGCTATTAAAGGATCTCGCAAAATGTTTAAACAATGTAAACGGGGACGGGGGGAACCCTATTTGCAATCCTCTGAAGATGGCTTTCTGCCTAATGCAAAGGTTTTCTTCCCCTGTTTATTCTGAAACCTCCATGACTGAATGTAGCTGGCTCTGGATCTAAGGAAATGGAATGAGATTTGCTTCTCCTCTGATGTTATAAGCCCGGTCTAGCATTTTTTTTAGTCTCCCACTGTTGCACTAGTACTGTGCAGCCAGGCTGGCAGCAGCCATCAGCATTTCAACGACCATGGCCCTGATCCCAGAAAGACCTAGGCATGTGCATAGCTCTACTTGCTCCTACTGAAGTCAACGAATTTTCAAGTTAGTTCTTAACATGTTTTGATCCTTTTTTCTTTATATAGGAATTGATTTACTACCCGGATTTCCATCTAAGTCAATGGGACTACTCATGTGAGTAAACCTGCATGTATACCTAAGTCTCTGCAGGAGTAGGGCCCATCTCACCTACATCTGCCCTGGGTAAGGTTAAATGACACTATGGTTAAAAATTCCAGAGGCTGGTCAACACTAGAGTGGCTGCTGCTGCTGCTACCAGTCCAGATTTACTAGTGATAGTACACCAGAAGGAGATTAAGAGAAGTGCTAGTTTTGTCACAACCTTAAAGGAGCAAGCAAGATACACTTTTAAAACAAAAAAAAGGAATGAAGACTGAGGAGTATCCTACTTGTGATTTGTGTTTCAGGTAGATCCGGATTTGGCTGGCACCTTGCTATATAACTGAATACTGTGCTTTTAGAAAGACGTATTTTGTAAGATGTTGCCACAGCAATGGCAGATTACAAGAGATTTGATTTCCAGCCTACAAGCAGGAGGTTTTAGAATACAGAGGAGTTTAGTTTTTTATACCCATGTTTGTGTCGGTTTAAATGGAATAGCCTTATTTAAATGTTCTATAATACGGCTCAGTATATGAATTAAAAAAAATACATAAGCTACTGACAAAAAGTATGAACTGCCCACATTTTGGGTCAAACCCTGATCAAATTCATGTGATAAATTCCATCAATGTCAATCTTTTCTCAAAGGAGGGAAGGAAGGGGAGAGTGCCAAGGTTTCACATTCAGACTTGATGTAAGCAGATGCAAATGCAGTGGAAATCAATGGAGTTGAACCTGCTTACACAGCTCTGAGTTTGGCCCATAGAATTAGAATGAGAGGAAAGACACTCATACCATAACAATGTTGAAAGACCACTTGTTCATTTGCGTAACTATAATAAAACCTTGATGCTTCCCACTGACTTTGATTTTGATGAGATAAAAAACTGATAGAAAACAAACTGTGCAGCATATAAAGATAGGCAGGGGTAATCTTGATCTACATGCGAATACTGTGCCAAATTTAAGTCTTAACACATTCTGATTCTTTTTTCATTGTATAGCAATTGACTTATTACCATCTTCTGTTACTGCACTGTTTGCTGGCCCTTATTTCCATCTGTATATTGAGATGGTGAGTTAAGTTTCATGTCTGTGGGAGATATACTAATTTGCTTGTTTGTCTAATGATGTTAAGCATTCAAAGAAAAAAATATTACAAATATAAGGCCAAACTCTGTTTGCCTAACTCATGAGCATAGTTCCAAAGAAGTCACTGAGATTACCTGCATGAGTAAGGTAAGAAAGATGCAGCACGGAATGTTGTTAGAGGGATACAATGCAAAAAGTATAAGTTGTGTGTATGTTTTCAAAACCAAAACACTGGCACTCCATCCCAGCATGGGTTGCTACTAAATTAATCTAATTTAACAGAGCTATGAGAAAACTCTTATCTTAGGCTAAGCTAATGTTTGACAGCTGGCGTCCCAGTTTTGTCCCAGGCTAGCTGCTTTCCACCTGCACCTTTACGCAGAACAGTTAGATTGACTATAGACTGAAATATTTTGAATGGCTTTGATGCTAAACATCTGAAAATAGCACGTCTATTGATGTTTGTGACAAGAAGTTTTCAAGCTGCCATGTGAATGTAACTTAATACTTTCAACTGAAGCTGTCAATCCTTTCACTCCTAGGTCCCTTTCCCCCAATACCAATTAATATTTCAAGCTCCATACTCTGCTTTTAGAATCTAGAGGCTCAGTTCTAATCTCACATGCAGGAGTGTAAATTGCTGCAGACCTGGCACACGCATATGGTGTTGACTGAGCGCTCATGTAGCTAGGGTTGCTGCTAAATCCATGGATTTGTTTAAAAAAATAAACAGAAAATGAGATGATTAAACAATGAATTGATACTCATCAGCTGTGAAGATTGCAAACACAGGCCTGGCTCACTCTCAGAGGGTCCCAACCTGCCGTTTGAGAACCCCAGCTGTCAGGCAGCACAGAAATGTGTCACTTGATCTTCCAGCTACTGTAACCGGAATAACCTTGGTTTAAGTGAAACAATGTAAAGCTGAGACTCACTAATTTCACAATGGTTTCCCTCGAGTCCTGAAGGACAAATGCATTTTCCTAGATAGAAGCAGGTTCCTCCATTGAAACAGGTTGTTGTGCAGTTAGCTGAAGGACATAAAACAAAAGATGAAATAATTTTACATTAGACATATAATTTATACTCTAACCACTTTGGCACTCATTTGAGAGGTTGGAGACCCCCGTTTAAATCCCTTCTCTTCAGGCAGAGGGGAAAATGAACCAGGGTGTCTCACATCCCAAATGAGTATCCTAAATGAGTATGTCTCACATCCCAAATGAGTATCCTAAATGAGTATGTCTCACATCCCAAATGAGTATCCCAAATGAGTATCCTAGGCTAAGGATTATAACTGAGGTCATCTGTGTTTTGTGTAGAGGTAGGTGTGCTCAGATCATGCCTGCCTGACAGGGCCCGGCAGGTGAGATAGGTGGGGAATGCTTAGGTAATGCTTGGCATGAGAAAGGCATTTGGATGCCTGCCCAAGGCAGCAGAGCATGCACTCAGTCGCAGAAGCCTAGACACCTAGGGAACTTTTACAGCAAATGTTTAGATGTCTGGTGAGTCTGGGTTTCTACAGGGCTAGAAGGCAGCTGAGCAGCAGTTTGTGGATCACAGTGGTACCTATGTCTAGGGCGTCTAAGACCCTTTGGGGATCTGGGCCAAACTCCTTTACTGAGGACTAAATACATACTAAGCCAAATGGATTCTGTAAGCACAAGGGACTATAATTGCATATCTATCTGCAGAATGTGGGTCTAAAATACTTCCTTTAAAACATGACTTTGTTACAAAGCTCGTTGAAGACCTATTGAATTTACTAACCAAATGTTTTGTATAGTTTTGTGTTCTTACACCGTCTGTGTGATGGACTATTTAGATATATTTCAGTAGGAAACTTTGTATTTTTTAAATATCCAACACTTCTGGGATGGTGAATATCATACTTCCTTTACTGTTTTTTATTGATACACTAAGGTCATTATATCAAAAAATATTAAATGGAATAAGTTACTTATTTTTTAATCTGTCCAGACGCAACAAGTTAATGCACCAACCTTTCATCTAAGGAAACCAAGGCCCAAATCTTTATTCCCACCTCCACCAAGCCACAAATGGAAATGAATTTGCTGGCCACTGCTACAGTCCCTCAGGGAACCAACTAAGGAGGTAACGGTTGTGTACATTATATATTATTCATTTCATGTACATGAGTGTTCAAAAGTGAATGTAAGTTGCACCTATCATCTGGTGGTTTATACATGTGTAATTTGCACTACAATGAAAGTCACCTCTGAGTTTTGGCCATGTTTTTTCGTATCTTAACATTAGCGCGATCGTGTGAAGAGGCCCAGGAATGAAGTAGCAGAGATGTACTAGGCTGGATATAAAGTGCTGTAGTCATAAAATTCTGTTAATATTGTGATGTGGAGGATGTAGATAGACACAGAAAGTATCATAGGTGTACATATGAGGTCAGACAACATAAACAAATGTCTGAGGGGACACTATCATATATAGTCCTCTTGTCAGGATCTCTGCAGCACTGTACCATACAGCCAAGAGTACCTTATGACTAGGGCCCTACAAAATTCACAGCCATGAAAAACGCATCACAGACTGTGAAATTTGGTTTCCCCCCATGAAAATTGGTCTTTTGTGTGCTTTTACCCATGGGCGGCGGGTATAATAGGCCAGGGGAGGGTTAGGGCTAGTGCCTCCCCTGGCACTGCTGTGGCTGCCGGACCCCCAGTTGTGGGGTTTGGAGGGAAGTTTTTTATTTATTATGCCCCATGCAGGTTCCGGGCGGCTGAGGAGGTGGTATGTGCTGTTCAGCTTCCCAGGTTCATCAGTAATCTCCCTGGACTCCAGGGAGCTTACTGATGAACCCAGCAAGCTGAGTAGCAAATACTGCCTCCTCAGCCACCCCAGAACCTGCACGGGGAATATCAAAAGCTTCTTCCAGACCAGAGATGCTTTTCCCCAGGCAGCTTGGAATCTGGGAGGGGAGGTGCGCCATGGCTGCAGCTGGCCCAGGACTCCTCTGGGAAGAGGGGCTCGGGGCTTTGGCTGGCCCATGGCTCCGGCCGTGGGGGGGCGTGTGTGTGTCTTGAGGGTCCAGCCACAGGGCGGGGGGGGGGGTTGGCAGGTGAAAGGGGCGGAGCCAGGGCTAGCCTCCACAAAGGGGGCCTCCACAGGCCGTCCATGCTTTTATCTATACTATACAGATTTTATGGGGGAGACCAGTGTTTCTCAAATTGGGGGTCCTGACCCAAAAGGGAGTTGTGTGTGGGGGAGAGTCACAAGGTTATTTTAGGGGGGGTTGTGGTATTGCTACCCTTACTTCTGCGCTGCTTTCAGAGCTGGGCGGCCGGAGAGCGGCAGCTGATGGCTGGGCACCCAGCTCTGAAGGCAGTGCCCTGCCAGCAGCAGCGCAGAAGTAAAAATAGCAATACCATACCATGCCACCCTTACTTCTGTGCTGCTGCCTTCTGAGCTGGGTGGCTGGAGAGTGGCAGCTGCTGACTGAGGGCCCAGCTCTGTAGGCAGCAGTGCAGAAGTAAGGGTGGCGATATCATACCAGGCCATCCTTACTTTTGCACTGCTGCTGGCGATGGCTGTGCCTTCAGAGCTGGGCTCCCGGCCAGCAGCCGCCGCTCTACAGCTGCAGAGCTCTGAAGGCAGCGCCACCGCCAGCAGCAGTTAAGAAGTAAGGGTAGCAGTACCACAACCCCCCCCCTACAATAACCTTGTGACACCCCCAACTCCTTTTTGGTCAGGATCCACACAATTACAATACCGAGACATTTCATATTTAAATAGCTGAAATCTTGACATTTATGATTTTTAAAATTCTATGGCGGTGAAATTGACCAAAATGGACCGTGACTTTGGTAGGGTCCTAATTATGATCCACTACCACCACTGTGGGGAAATCAGCATGCAAGAAGGTAGGATAGGGAGTACAAAGGTAGCTGTAGCTGGTGGGTTACAATTTGACTGCTTTTTATTCTATACTGTTACCTTTATCACAGTTGACGCCATAGAATCCAGGAGGGCAGATGCACAAACCTGGTGTGACACAGAGCCCACCATTCATGCAGCGGGACGCACACAAAGCTAATTTGACGAGAGTGAAAGAAAACAAAATGCTGGCATGAGGGAGAGATGAACATGCCAAAATTTGATACAGGATTTTATATAACAGTCATTCAAAAAAATCAGTAATAAGCAAAAATAGTAGTTTTCAGACAACACTTTTCCTCCTTCTGCTTAGTATAACAAGTCAGCTTTGCAATATAAAATAGCTAATGCAGAAAGATGTTTCATAATTATGCGTATAGATTATAGTGGTTGAAGTAACACTGTAAAAAACTGAAGATTGACTTTAGTGTTCATCCTACTTAATCTGAACACTGAGAGCAAAAATTGTCCCTTACACAGATTTTTCCCAAATTGAGGACTGAAAATTGCAAATTTGGACTCATTGAAATATTTCAGTGGTGTGAGTATGGAACTGGTCAGGGTTCAGTCCTTTGTAGCTATGGATCTTGGGACATCTGTCAAGGCCAGGGCCATCGGTACAGCAGTCCTGTGCCTCCACATTGCCTCAAAGCTCCCACAGCAGCATGGCTTTTTCAGGTGCTGTGCTCTCATACAGCCTTCTCCCCAGCTATTGTTGCTACCCTCCCCAGCCCTTGAGAAGGAATGTTAGGGAGCAGAGTTTTACTTCATGGTTGGCCAGTATTAACTTACCCAGGGAATGCCTGCAGGGCTGAGTGAGAGATGTCTTGTGACTGGCTTCTGCCTTCTCCTGACACTCTACAGAGCACCCATGCAAGGGCCTTCCCCAGGGTTGGGAAGAAGTAGGAAGCATGTACAAGAGCTAGTGTACTCATCACCTAATCCATAATCCCATCCCTCTCACTGCCCAAATGCATTGTTATTGGCTCCCCTTCACTTATGGAAAGAGAAGGGAGAATCTACCCGAAACATTTTCCCTCTCCATTGTCAGTCTGCTTGAGACACAGCTGTGGCATCCAAATTAGATACTATCTTCAAATAACAAATGCAAAACAACAAGAACACTATACTTGATTTTCCAGCTAGTCTTCATTAGCAGAAGAATTCTATTTAATCTCTTGCCAGATGGATTGTTTGTGATTAAGGGTCTCTTAATTGTTGGTCAATTTCATGTTTAATATATCTTTTAGAGAGCAGATATTTTTCTTTAGAAGTTGGCATTTTCATTAAGCAACTGATGTTTTCATTAGCTCTGGGGTCATAACAATAATTTTCTTGTGTTTGGATTTAATATTTACAGATATCTAGCAACACAAGAGAGCCTCCAGGAAAGGCCATTTACACTTTTGAGAGAGAGAGATTTCAGTGCAGTGACTGCTCTTTTTCAGTAGGGCTATAGTGAAGAAAACAATTGAGGGAATTTGTAAAGTTACCTTTCTCACAATGAGGCCCATAAAATCCATCTGGACATTCACAGACATGCCTTTCATTGCAAAAACCTCCATTTCTGCACCCTCCTGGACATTCAGCTTCATGAAAAACAAAAACATTGTTAATCAGATATTACATACTTCAGTTAGCACTCCACTTTCAAAAGCGTCGATACAGTCTATTGACAGAAGAGCAAAAATAACTGGATAGCAACTTTTGTTGAGGTGAATATCAAGATTTATCGACCAGAGCCATAAATGTGATTGAGATGGAAGCTCAGCTAAAAATCAATCTCTTTGTTAATCTACAAATACAGGTTGCATCATATGATCGATTGCACTCTTGACAGTACCTGTGATAGTGCTCTACCACTCTGTGCTAATCAATAGACTAATGAATAATGTGGCCTGTCTGCAAAACCCACTACCTTAAACTGCTTGGAAATGAATAGCTACCCAACACAGATCCTGGAGCACTGGTGTCATGCTCCTAGTTAGATACACTGCTTACCTAGCAGGCTCGGCTTCAGTTTTTGGCTTGATTTAAGGTGTGGCCCGAGGCAGAGTGCATTACATTACTCTAGTGTTGGATCTGTATGAAATGAAAGACTCAATCTTCACACTGGGTGAAGATGATGGGGAGGAAGCATTCCTGCCCACTGATCCCATATCATCATTCAACTGTTAGTCACATCCCAAATCTCTACCCAACAGTAGCCAAGGCATTTGACAACAGTGGAAGAGAAACACATCTGGGCATCATCAGCATTCTAAAAGACATCACAGCCCATGCCTCTTCACTATCAACTGCCTTGTATCCACATTGAACAAGAGGTGGGAGAAATTGGAACCCTACGGAACCCCTCCCCACAAGTGAACCCTCAGGGCAAATGAGCAATTGGTCCAAAATACCTACTGAGATCTCTCAGACAAAAACAAAGCTACTGAGTGGCAGCCATGTCTACTTCCATTGGAACAAGCCAATAGTACCTCATGAGCAGTGGTACCAAAATCAGCATATAGCTCTAACAGTATCAGCATGGTCATCTGCTATTTATCCTTCATCAGGGGAATTATCTACCAAACTCTTTGCCAAACCTTGTTCTGTAACCAAAATGGCAAAGTTCAAAGAGCTCTGAGGTAGACAGATAATCTGAGAATCACCTTGCCACAACCTCATCAATATTTTTAATCAAAATTAGATGAGTTTCTTGATGGTAATTGGCTAGATTGTTAGTATCAAGTTAATTGTTTGTGTGTAATGATCATAAAACAGCTTTCTTAATTGACAATGTCTGTCAGCAATGGCCCCATTCTTCTCTATTTTTGTCTTTACCAGAAAGTGGTACAATCCATCAGGCTGATGCTGGAAAGATGTACCACCAACCATTGACACAATCCAACTCCTGAATGGAATTAAATGGAGTCCAAAGTTTAAATATTTGCAGAGTTCACAGATAATATTTTACTTTTGCTGCAAACTGTAGAATGTTTGTAAATTTAGATGCGCCAGCTTGCATGGGGCACTTCTGCAGGCCACAGATATTACAAACTGTAATTCACACTAATTCCCCCACCCACAATTTTAGTCAGCTGAAAGTATACAGATTAACTTTTAAACAAATTTCCCTATGGAAATCATAAGAGATGGTTAAATAAAACTACAGGCAAATATGGCAAGCTGTCATGATTATTAATCATTTTCTGTCCTGGATTACTTCTCTACAATCCCTTTGAAGTCAATAAGGTACCATGGGTAAACCTGAGAATAGAGACAATGGAACAAATTCTGCTTTAAAAGGCTCTGTCTGTTGTGCAGAAGTGAAGCTCTAGACCACCAGACAAAAGCGAGTGAACTGGAACTGGAGAAGACGAAAAGGTGAAGACTGAGAGTCACTATATATAAGCTGCCTTGCATCTGAAGAAGTGAGGTTCTTACCCATGAAAGCTTACGCTCCCAATACTTCTGTTAGTCTTAAAGGTGCCACAGGACCCTCTGTTGCTTTTTACAGATTCAGACTAACACGGCTACCCCTCTGATACTATATATAAGCTGTGATATAGGAAGCAAAATATATTGCTATAAAAGTAAAGCTATCTGAAACAGTAGTAATAAACATAAAGACATTTTGTTTTATTTTATTCCAATTCTGTACTCTAGAATCCTTTCTGGAAATGTACTTTCCTTTGTGCCCAAATGCAGAGCTGCTATTCATTACAGAAAATGCATGCTTAAATAAATGCCATTTCAAATAGAAAAATGGAAAAATATTATTTTTTGTGTGGCCACCTCTTAGCCACTATAAAGCCTCCTCTTTCCCACAAAATTGCTCCCTGGCTTTCCCTACTTCCTCTAGCACGGGCACCTTCCTGGCTGGCCAGGAATAGCTGGAAACCATGATCGACGGCCAGGCAACAGGGAATATGAGCTTCATGGCTGTATGACAAGCTTCATTGTTTCCTCTCTTCTTTCCATGGGGGACTTTAAAAACACAACCAAACCAAAAAACTTTTATGAACCAACCTACCAGTGAGAACATCCCCATCTGTCCCTATAGCCATCACAAAATGTTGCTGTGTCTATGTCCCTAAATTAAGCACAAAAATGACAGGCTCACCCTCAGATAACTGTATATGGTCTGAAAGACATTGGCATGATAGATCTCCTCTCTTGCATGCCTCTGGAGTTTGGAGATTTGCCCCTGCAATGTGCTGTTGTCTCATAGGCTCTGTGAGTGAAGGACCAAAATGACCATTCAACCTCAGTCCACTGGGCCAACCTAAAGCTAAAACTGCATCTCTGCAAATTGATGATGATAATAGTAAATGATAGCACATAAAATATGGCTTGGATGAAAGCTGGATGGGCTAGAGAGAGTTCCAAACTCATAGAAATAAGTATTTCCCCAAAATACATATAGGTTAGAGCCTTACAGTCTCTATCAGGCAGGTCACCACTACACTTCATCCAAACTTTATTAAACTTAATAGCTTTAAATAGAAATAAAAATTAAAAGTTCTAAAATGCTTTTGAACTCTGCTGTATTTGCATCAAACACACACATTGCCGTGTGTATAAGATTTGCATTTTTAAATCCCATTAAGCTTCCCATCTTCCTCTCTGCCTATTTCTTGCCCATCCCCACCCCCCATTTTCTCTCAGCTAATTGGCAGAAGTGAGGCTTCAAAGGAGAAGGCCAGCTCCTCTCTGCTGTTAAGCAATAGTGGGGTTTCAAAGAATAAACAGCTTTTGCTCCTGCTGCTTGTTCTTTGAAGCCCTGCCATTGCCAATTAGTTAGGAGAAAAAGGGGTGGGGAAGTAAATGGGAGAAGAGGAAAGAAGACTTAAGGGAATTAATAACAATCGCATTCACTGTATACAAACTGTGTCGTGTTAATTTGATACAACTTCAGACAATATCTGATAACTGCATTATCTTGGAAGCTAAACTTTTAAACATTTTCTGTAGCCTCAAAATTTGTGTCAAAAACACTCTCTGAAAAAACTATTAATTTTGGGTTAATGTTTCATAAGTATATTTACATTGTTTCCCCCCCCCCAAATAAACCATTTTTAAGGATGATACACTCTTGGGTGCTCTGTCGTCAGCCAATATAACTTTTGATTAATTTTATGTCAGTACACCCCAGCTGTGTATATTGGCTGATAAGCATAAACCTTGAACTCAGAAAGGGCTCAATTCTGCCTCCCTTATTCATATAGTAGTATTTTACTATGCAAATGACCCTAGTGAAATGAAATGTATGACCTACATAGTAAGGTACTTACTCAATATGAGTAAGGGTGGGAGAATTTGCACCTCAGTGATGTCCATTCAAATATCTCTGTGTACTTTACAAATATTAACTAAGCCTCATGGCACCTCAGTGATGTAGGTGAGTTGTGTTATATCCATTTTATAGACTGCTGTACTGAGAAACAGAGAGGTGCCAGACAACATTTTCGAAAGTGGTCACTGACTTCAGCAATGTCAACTTTTGGGTGCCCAGTTCGGGATTTCCAGAGATTCTGAGCAACTGCAGCTCTCACTGACTTCAAATGGAGTTGAAGGTACTCAGCACTTCTGAAAATGAGGCCCAAGTTGGAGACCCAAAAATTGGGGGACCCCAACTTAGTAGCCACTTTTGAAAACGTTAGCCTATCTATATCAGTGGTCTGTGGAGAGCAGGTTGGTGACATGCTGCTAATTCTCCTTGTTTCCACCTGCTTAATCACATTAATAAGAAAATTAAAACTTTACTAATATTTGTTTCCCATGGGAGCCATTTCTATAGTCACACAGAGATGCTGTGTGATTATGAATGGGAAGAGATGTGTCATCAAGACGATCTTTCTAGTGAGATGTAGTTCAAACTATGAAAAGCGTTTAAGAACTCTTTGCCTTAGCTGCCAGCAAATCCGTGGCAGAGCCAGAACAACAACCTATGAATGATGACTCTCACTTAAATCTGTTTAACCCCAATATTGCTGTTATGTCTGTCTGTATTGGGAATGAGACTTGAGCAATTTAACCATCACAGACTGATGATATCCTGTCACCATGGCTTACCTTGCTGACATGTTTTAAAGAAGATAGCATTTTGGGGTGTTTGGAGGATTACATTGCCTTCTGAATTCATTATGATCACAGTAACTTCAAACGCCGCTACTCCATCTTGTTTTCCAAGGCATGGAAATCCAACCTGAACAACTAAAAAGAAAAAATATGTATAAATATTTAAACCTTAATATATTGTAACCCCACAATAGTCTTCAAACCATGATTTGAGGACTCCAGTAACTCAGCCAGAGGTTAGGGGTCTGTTACAGGAGTGGGTGGGCGAGATTCTGTAGCCTGCAATGTGCAGAAAGGCAGACTAGATGATCCTGATGGTCCCCTGTGGCCCTAAAGTCTATGAGTCTAAAACATTACATCTCTCTGATATCTGTTATTTGTGAAAACTAGCAGGTACAGACTATGTTGTTAACAGTCAGACAAAACCACTTCTATTTGTACCCCAAAGTAGTTAGTCTTGTAAAGCAGACTAGGGGTAACATTTTCAACAGTACCTGACTTATGTGCCTAACTAACTCTCATTTTTCAGAAGTGGTGTAGGCACAGATCCTCAGAAGTATTTAGGTGCCTAATTCCCATTGATTTAAATGGGAGTTAAGTGCCTAAATACCTAAGGTTATGTCTACACTAAAGCTGGGATCAAGTCTCCCAGCCCAGGTAGACAGACTCGCACTAGCAGGGCTTGAACTAGTGCACTAAAAATAGTCATGTAAACATTGCCACTCTAGACACCTGAGCTCAGAACAGGGGGTTAGGTGAGCTTGAGAATCCGAACTGCTGCCCAAGCTGCAACCTCCACACTACTATTTTTAGTAGGCTAGCTCTAGTCCCACTGATACGAGTCTGTCTCCCTGAGCTGGGAGGCTCGGTCTCAGCTGCACTGTAGATGTACGCTAAGACTTACTGAGACTCAGGCTCCTAAGTTACGTTTTAAAATGGGACTTACTCCCTTTTTAAAATTTTATCCTAGATATAGTCTGTTCTTATGGATACGGCCATTGATATTTAAATAACTGTCTTTAATAAAAGCTTGTTATGTGAAGTGATGGCAGGATAGCACACTTAGTAAATAAGATAATTGATGAAAATATTTTAAAGAATAGAGAGACACCACTTTGACAGAACTCCTTGAGTGTCCTAAATGTGATGGATAGCTGGAGATTTGCACACTCTTCTTGGAGAGCCAACATTTTTGAACTACAAAGAGTCTTAGTAAGTAATTAAAGGCAGTAAATCTGGAGTATTTTAATGAGGAGGAAGGCCTGGTATCCCAGAGCTTTGGAATGAAGTTATGTGATTGTCACAACTGATCTTAAATAATCTTCAGATGAAGCAATTATCTCCTCTCTTGATGACTGGCTCCTCCTTGCTCCTTTATAAATTGGATCCAGCTATCTGTGATTATTCACTCATTTCCCCTAAATTTGGTCTGAGACTTCAGAGCAAAATACTGAGCTAAGAGCTTTGTATTTTGTTTGTTTTAAATTGGTTGCTATAAACATTTTCTGTAAGTAATAGGTGGGCAATTTTTGTTGTTCGTTGTGTTACTTCTATATACCATAAAGAGTCTCAAATGCAAGTTGTGTATATAATATAAAAATACAACACAGTTTATTACTAAAACTTATTCTGCATCTGACAGATCCAACATAGCTAAGGGACTGTTGACATTTTCATTATAAAATCTGTTTTTACTTTTATATTGACCTCTTTAAAAGACTATTTAAAAAAATAGGTATCTCTGCCGTAAGTGGAAAAGTCATGCTGTGGATTAAAAACAGTTTAAATGCAATGAATAATTTAAATTTTAGTGAACATTTGCTTTTCTCAGTGCAAAATATAGTAAATAATGCAGTGCTCAAGAGAATGGTATTAAGAAAAATGTCACAATGTTTTGTCTTAGAGGAAATAGAGGTGAAATTTGGTGATGCCACTATGGGCCAAAGCTTGGACCCATTGTTAATGACAATCTCCTGTTGAGTTTAATGGGATCAAGATTTGATCCTAAATTACTTCAGCCTGTGGATTTAAATAAATAGATTCATAGAGTTTAATGCCAGAAAGGAGCATTGGATTATCTAGTATGACCTCCCGTTTATCACAATACATTAAATTTCACCCAGTTACCGCCTGTTAACTGGTTTGATTAAAACATAACTTGTGTTTGGCTAAAGCGTATCTTCCAGAAAGGCTCCAGTTTTACTTGAAGGTATCAAGAGATGGAGAATCCACCACTTCCCTTGGTAGTTTGTTCCTATATCTAACTACCCTCACTGTTAAAAATGTGTTCCTAGTTCCTAATGTGAATGTGTCTGGCTTCAGCTTGAAGCCATTAGTTCTTGTTATGACTTTCTCTGCTAGTTTAAAGAGCCCTTTAGTACTCGGTATTATCTCTCTGTGAAGATACTTATGCACTGTAATCAAGTCACCTCTCAATCTTCTTGTTAATAAACTAAAGAAATGGAGCTCTTTAAGTCTCTCACTGTGAGGCATTTTCTCCAACCCTTGAATCATTTTATTTCGTGGGAGACCGTGTGTAATGATGCCAGCATCCTATGAGTTGAATGTGTAGTAGCCATGAGATTTTGGGCTGGAATTCACAATCTCTTGGCTCCATTTCTTACTATACCCCTGCCATGATGGGGTCCTCCCTCTCTACTTTCCCCATTTCTTTCTCTCCTTTTTCTGAAATTTGTCTCCTCTTACCCAATGCCTTCTCCCTTTCTCCGCTCCTCTTAGCACTCTCTGCTGATGGGAGATGTCAATGAATGGGAGTTTGGTGCCTAAATACCTTTGAGGATCTGAGCCTTAGCTCCTAAACCAAGAATGAGTTGGGAGGGACAATTCCTGCTGCTAAACTGTTTGGAGAGTAGGAGCTCAGCCTGTGCCTGGGAGGGAGAACAGGAAGGAATGGCCATCAGAAAAACACCTATACACTATCCATCACTCTTCTTAAAGCTATTCTACTCTACCTGATTAAAGGCCTTTCATGCGTCAAGGACTGGGCCAAATGGATCACTCCCAGAACACACTATATTTCTTAGTTAGTGGCCACAGTTAAACTCTGTCTGGTCTCAGTCGTGACAGCAGAAAATCAAGCCTATTAACAAGCACTTTGGTGAATACTTTGACATCAATGTTTAATAGAAAAATAAGTCTATAAGAGGCACAATCAATTTTATCTCTGTTGGGCTTCAAAATCAATAAAATAAGGGTTTCTCATGTAGAATCTGGAGTCTGAAAAGATTCTAGGAAACTTAAATAAATTGACAGGCTTGGGCACCAACCCTTTACTAAAGCTTTACACTATTCAGATGAGACTTCAGGGCCTGGTGACTTACCTACAGGTATCTGCTTAATTACATTACAGATCTCTTCTACATCATAGGTCTATTTAAGTTTTCCTACTGGTCCTTCGGAAGAGTATGCAAATTAACACTTGCAATTTAATTTCATCTGTTTTTTCCTTTATCTGGCTTTCACACACACTGTAAAAACTTCTCACTCATGCTGCACAATTCTTTTCTCTTGTAGTTAAGACTGTTTTTAACCATCCCTTATTATAAATGAGCCTTTTCACACTCAATTCATATTACAAGTTAAATTTTGGGAGTTTATTACCCCCAGTCATAATAATGTTGTTTTAACCAAGAAAAAGCTGTGTTTTATCCAGAAGTAAAATCTTAAATTACCCATGAGTGTTGTCAGTTTTAAAAATATTTTTTTAAATGTGCATTAATGATTTTGTTTAGTTTCTCTTTCTCTTTCCCCAGAAAGGAATTCGTTTATCCGAAAGCACTGCTTTATATGTTTCCCGTATTTGTTTCTTCAGGCTCTGCCTTTTCCATGCATTAAAAAATAGATTTTGGGCTAATCTTTCAGAGCATTCAGAGGTCCCTGAACAGTTTTTAGACCATCATTGATGTATGGTCCAATTATGTTAGTTGCCTAATAGTAGCTTCAATGAATAGGGCTGTAAAGGAGATCATTGTGGGCAAGATTGTGGCATGGTCTAGCCACCGTTTTTGTACTACTATAGCTATGCTGGTGAGGGTTGTGATTTTTTTTTTAGTGTGGATGCAGTTATACCAGTATGAAGGTGCTTACCTCAGTTTAGCCTGAATTAACTATACAGTACTGGCAAAACTATGTCCACACTAGGAGGACTGTAAGGCTTTAACTATACCAGTATAGTTAAACAGAACAACTTTTTTGTGTAGACAAGCCACCATGGGTGGATGGAACTAGCTACGTCAAGGTAAGAACTTTCAGTGCCAGCCTCCACCAGGATTTTACGTTGAGATAGCTAACCTCAAGATAGCAATCTCAATTTAAAAACACAATTATTTTTTGCAGTGAAGACATAGTATGAGCAATACCTTATTCCAAAACTATTCCTATTGATTTCAACGGTACTATCATTGGGCGAGGTACTATTCAGCATGAGTAAGGATATTAGAATCTGACTCTAAGTAGTCAAGTCTGGCATATACTTGCTGGAGATGGGGGGGAAAGGCGTAATCTCTTTGGTCTGTAGATTAGAAAAAGAGGTGAAGTTAGATTGGGGTTAGGGAAGAAATATTAACTTAATACAATTTAACAGCACTGCAGTACGCAAGTGAAGTAAGTCAACTATAGGATGATATGCATCCGAAGAAGTGGGCTGTAGTCCACGAAAGCTTATGCTCTAATAAATTTGTTAGTCTCTAAGGTGCCACAAGTACTCCTGTTCTTTTTGCGGATACAGACTAACACGACTGCTACTCTGAAACCTATAGGATGATAGGCTGACTTATCTCAATCACACTGCCCACTTACTGGAAGGCTCTTCCAGTTTTTCTGGTGTTTTAAGATGCACCTCATCCTACAAGAAGTTTGGAATATCATGATTGTTCCATGTACCTCTGCACAGACACAGTGAGTCTAATTTACCACTAAAGCTGGTGAATATTTTCAATCTAAAAGAATTGATCAAAAAATGCACTTTTCCAATCTTAAAATTTAATTGATTTTTTTTAATTAATATTGAATTGACAATGCCATCAAAATGTTTCCTTTATTGCCTTTCATTTTCAAAATAGACAAATTAAAAATGTTGTTTTACAATTTTAATGTTTTCTTTCTTTTTACAAAAATTCCACAAAGTGACTAAGTTGAAAAAAGGGGAAAATCCCTTTTTTCTCCTCCACTTTCCCATTTGCCTGACTTTTTTTTTGTTTTTTGCTACTGTCTAACTTTTAATTGGTCATCTTAGTCCTTTAGTGAGTTAAACAAAACCAAAATTAAAAATCATTTTTGAAAATTAAAAACAAACAAAAATTCTGCTCAATTTTGATAATCATGAAAAATTCTGAAAAACAAAGTCAGTCTGTCTTAATGTTTTTGCCTACTTTACACTCACTTTGCACATATCTAAATGACTATATGAAGTAAACTGCAGTAAAATTAGTTCTGATATGCACTTATAATGTCCACATACTTTAACCATTGACAATTATTTAACTACTACATCTCTAACCTTATATAACGCTGTCCTCGGGAGCCAAAAAATCTTACCACGTTATAGGTGAAACCGCGTTATATCGAACTTGCTTTGATCCGCCGGAGTGTGCAGCCCCGCCCACCCGGAGCACTGCTTTACCGCGTTATATTTGAATTCGTGTTATATCTGGTCGCGTTATATTGGGGTAGAGGTGTATTACTATTACCCAGCTGTTATCAACTAAAACAAAATAATAATGCCTTTGAATAATTTTGAACTGCAGTAATGCTTCATATAAATGAATTTTAGGCATCAGACTTTGGACCAACTCCTGCTGGCCTACTTCCATGAATAAGAGTAACAAGATTTGGCTCAAAGAAGAAAAATAACTAAAAGGGGCTGTTCATTAGATTTTTAGTAATGGAGTAAGGTAAAGTGATTTCATATTATTTACATGGAACAAGTGTTCAGCATTATAACAAACAATTTTCTTGATGCTAAAATTTACAGTGCAATTTATAATATGGTATTTACCCTTTTAACTACTTGCTTTAGAATGTATTTTTTTCCAGAAACATTATTTTTATAACATGAACAACACAAACCTGATGCTTTGTGAGGAACTGTTCCAAGCAGGGGGATATTTATGGTTGGATCAGCCATTATGCCTTTATCCAGTGACCGCAAGGACAGGAACTCATAAAAGTACTCAGCCTACAACAAAATGAATTGAAAGTAAATGTTTGTTAATTGCAGTCACTGGAGCAACTATTCAGCATATAGTCTAAAGTGGAACAATAATACACTTTCAACTTTCACACCATCTATTTTTTTCATTTTTTTAAAAAATGCGTCTTTGTTTAAACATAATTTTCAGATGAACATTTGTCCTGTTGAATATTGGCATGTGACAGACCTTTAAGCTTGAGGCAGCCTAATCACAAGGAAAGTTGCATGCTTCCTTGTGCTGCACTTTGAAAGAAAGTGAATAAATATCCTAGGTGGGGCTAACCTACATTATGCGGGCTAAGCCGATATAGCTATAGCGGTATATCTGTATTGGCAGAGCCCCCAAGTTTAGATCACGGAGCATATGCTGACAGAAGTTTTTACTGCATCTATACTGGTGCTTTTGCTGGCATAGCTATGTCTGCTGGGGGTGGTTTTTTACACACATTTCATAGCTATGCTGACAAAACTTTACAGTGTTGACCTGGCCATGGTAATCACATTTTACATAACTAGCACCTTTTATTCCAAGGGATCACAAAGTGCTGTACAAATTATGGGCTAATTCTTGAAGTCCTTTCTCAAGTAAAACTCTCACTGAAGTCCTGATATAGCCACTTAGCTCCACTACGGCAGCACAAAGAGGCCATAAACATGCCCTAACTGGGCAGCTGGGGATTCCCCCACAAAGTTGGATTTACACCATAGTCTACCGGCCTCCACAGTATAGAGGGTGTGTTGTGGGTGTGCCCAGCAGGAGCTAGCATGGATGGAGCACTGCTCTGCACTACTGTCCATGCTACCTTAATTCGCTCCCTTGTGCATATGCATTATGACGGTGTTTTTAATTATATGATCACATACTATTATCTCTACAGCACCCCAGCCTCATTCAGTGAATGGGCAGTTATTCAATATTTATTTATATCCTCCTCATTCAATGTGTGACTCCCACCCTTATTTATAGTACACCATTCAAGCCCTGCACTGAACACAGAATTAGTAATTTCCTCCTGGGTGTTTCAGTGGTGCCCTCACCACAGTATGTGAGTGCTTCAAACATTAATGACTTTATCTTCATATGCCATTCCTGTGAGAGGCGGTGGTATTATCAGTATTTCGCAGCTAGGGAACTGAGGCACAGAGTGTCTAAAGTGCCTACTAATTTTGGGTGCCTAATTTGTGAGGCCTAAGACCTGATTTTTCCAAGTAGATATCACGATATAGCGCTCTACATGTTCAAAGCACAGCTTCCAGTGACTTCAGTGGCACATGTGAATGCTCAGCCATTCTGCAACTCTTGCCCCAACTGTCTCATGCTGGGCACCCAGAAAATCCCAGCACTACACAAGAACTCTGGGCCAATTATTGGTAATTAGACACCTAACCTGTTTAGATGTTTTTGAATATCCAGCTAGGCACCTGTTTGCATCTTTAGGTACCTAGTCAGGGATCTACAAAGGTACTTAGGGACCTAAGTCCCCTTTTTAGGCATCACTGATTCACAAAACTTCTGCTTGGCTGCCAATGAAACCTGTAGGTGCCTATTCCTCCTCAACACCCAAGTTTTCCCAGAAGAGCTCCCTAGGCAAGTACATTTCTACTTCTGGGCACACACACTGTTGCCTCCCTCCAGGTGTCTGGACACCTCTCCCACACATAAGCCCCAGTGCAATTCACAAATTGGAGGAAGATAGGCACTCTTCTGCCTAACTTGCCTGCAGGACCCAACCGGGTAGGCATGCTTAGAGGTCATCTAACTCTACACAAATGAGAGCTGGGGGGGAGGAAGAACTCCCTGATAACCATTGGCCTGAAGGTTAGGGTACTCCCAAGGGATGTGGGAGCTCACCACTTCAAGTCCCCCCTCTCCCTGATGATGAGAAGGGATTTGAGTAGGGATCTGCCATCTCTCAAGTGAGTGTCCTAACCACTGTGCTATACAATCACTCACTCTTTCTTTGGTCCAATTAATATTTAATTATTACTTAAAAGGGAACAATTTCACTAGGAGAGATTGAAGGAGACACACATCAGAATATCTCGGAGTCCAGTGGTTAACGCGCTAACCTGACAGGCTCAGTGTGACAATGTAATTAGTCCCTTTTTGGATTCAGGTCCTACATACCTTAGAGCAGTGGCTCTCAAACTTTTGTACTGGTGACCCCTTTGACATAGCAAGCCTCTGAGTGCAACCCCCCCTTATAAATTAAAAACACTTTTTTATATATTTAACACCATTATAAATGCTGGATGTAAAGCGGGGTTTGGAGTGGAGGCTGACAGCATGTAATAACCTCGCGAGCCCCTGAGGGGTCCTGACCCCCAGTTTGAGAACCCCTGCCTTAGAAAAATCTGTTCCACTGTGGCAGAGGGAGGGACAGAATCAAATTCTTCAGGGCACCATTCAATTGCCTTACCATAAGACTGTCCTTTCTCTCCCTGAAGTCCCCGCCCTCATTCACTAAATCCCTCCAATTTCTGCAACAAATGCACAGGCATCCTTATTCCTCTAATACACCATTACCAAACAACAACCTTTCGATTATGATGTCAGGAAAGTATAATCAACAACTTTCATAAGTTAAAAGTGTGGCAAACACCAACCATTATGTAACTGGACCCTTATTGATTCTGTGTGTTTCACTCTTGGCCTCAAATGGCACTCCTGTGTACTAAATACATCTCCTCAAATTGTAAATGGTGCACTTGCTCAAAAGCTCTGAAACATCACAGTTGCTAATGTCAGTCTGGAGTCCTTTCAGGCTCCCACAAGTTGAGGTTTTCACTTGAGTGTAGCACAGGGAAAGAGAGCTTTTAGCATCTCTGAGATTGATAACAGTATTTTTTAAATATACTGCACAGTAAATGACAAGCATTAGCAAAATTAGTGTTGCACTCCAATTTAATTACCGATAATTGGTGTTTAAAAATAACTGTAAAAGGATTTTGAAGCAAGAATTCTTATTTCAAAAACAAAAAAGGATACAGCACCTTGCTGGCTAGTTGTCACAATGATTTTCTGCTGACCTCACTCTCTCTTACTGTCAGCTTCATTGAATTCAAACGGCCTTATGTGCATATCCAAAGATTTATTGCACTTGCTTTAATTTTGTGGGTTTATTGAGGAAGAATTACATACACTACTGAAATGAAGCATTTTATCAAGAAGAATAACTGAGAAGAAACATGTACAGTAGATGCTACCTCTGAAAAATTAACGGATTTGTCTATTGAAGATTCAAATGTCAGAGGAGACCTCCATGTATTTAAAAGTATTTTTACACAACATACAAGCTCCAGCAATGGGCTCCTATCAGTGTGTTTAATTACTTATCGGTCCCCATCACCATAATTTGAACACCTCAGATGGTAATACATTCCTCTTTACAACAGCCCTGAGAAGTAGAGAAGTATTTTATGAGTGGGAAACTGAGGCACAGAGCGATTATATGATTTGCCCAAGGTCTCAAGAAGAAGTTTGTGACACAGCTGGGAATGGAACCCAGATTTCTTAGTTCCCAGACTCCCCTTGGAGAAGCCAAAGCTGCTGTGATGTTTATTTCCACTTTGTGCAGTGCTTGGGAGTATAGAATATATATATTTTCTCCTCTTTGACCAGAAAGAGAGAAGATTAGATGTTCACGGTACAACTGAGGATCTGGTACCTCCTTCCTTGTTGATAAAAGTTACTGCCTAAGTGTTGTAAAACATGATTGGTATATCTTGGCTGATCAGGGCTGGAGTCATAGCTCTTAGAACATATCTGATTGGTCTGACTTGATCCAACTGATACTATGTTGGAGATCCATTCTTCCATTAACCTTAGATGAAATTGTTCCCCGAATGAGCTTCTTTCCTCTTGGAGATGGTACAGATTTTTTTTCTCACTAAGCCTACCTGATTCTGACATGCTATGTCCCTCTGAATGCCCCTTGAAAATGGGATGAGGGAGGGCCAGGATAACGTGTCCTGGAAAATAATAAACTTTGGAAAGAAATTAAGAAATTTCTGGAGAGGACAGAAGTGGAATGTCACTCACAACAGAGAGCTGGTGCAAGAGAACTGTTCTGATCCGAGACATCATAGCCCTGATGGATATGACTGGGAAATGAATGACACTGTTTCTTATGGCCAAAGGCTTTTGAACCCTGTCCTCTGATGGAGACAGGCTTCTGTGGAGGTTGATATCTAAGGCCTTGTCTACACTGGCAAGTTTTTGCGCAGTAAAGCAGCTTTCTGCATTGTAACTCCCGAGGTGTACACACTGCCAAGCCACTTAGTGCGCAGAAACAGCACTGTAAAAAAACCACCCCGATGAGAGGCGTATAGCTTTCTGCACTGGGGCTACAGTGCCACGGTACCAGTGTAGACACCCTGGTCGATTACAGTGCTGTGATTGGCCTCTGGGAGGTGTCCCACAATGCCTGTTCTCGCCTCTCTGGTCATTGATTTGAACTCTACTGTCCTGCCCTCAGGTGACCAACTGTGAGCGCTACCCCTTAAATTCCTTGGGAATTTTGAAAGTCCCCTTCCTGTTTGCTCGGTGACGTGTGCAGTGGTCTCAGTGCATCTTTCCAGGTGACCAGGCCTGCTCTATGCACCAAGTGATCCCGCGCTTGGAGCAGTGCTGAGCTGCTGGACCTTATCAGCATTTGGGGAGAGGAGGCTGTCCAGTCCCAGCTGTGCTCCAGCCGTAGGAATTATGACACCTACGGACAAATGTCACATTGCATGACAGAAAGGGGCTATGACCGGGACACACTGCAGTGCAGGGTCAACATGAAGGAGCTGCGGAACACCAACCATGAGGCGTGGGAGGCAAACTGCCGCTCCGGTGCTGCGCCCATGAGCTGCCAGGTCTACAAAGAGCTGCACGTGATACTTGGTGGCGACCGCACCTCCACTGTGAAGGCCACTGTGGATACTTCGGTGGCTTGCATGCCAGTCAAGAGTGGACCAAGCCAGGAGGAGGAAATCTTGGA